GTGTGTGTGTGTGTCCTTGTTTATGCTACTTTGTGAGGCCCATTTTTCCAACTTATACTGCATTGTGAGGACCAACTGCTCCTTATGGGGGCCCAAAGTCCGGGCCCCATAAGAAGAAGTCCCGTTGGTGGGTTAGGGGCTAGGTTTAGGACTAAGGTGTGAATTGAGGATGTGTTAGGTTTAGGGTTAGGTATGTACTGGTAATGGTTAGGTTATGGATAAAGGTCATGGTTAGGCTATAGAAATGAATGAAAAATGAATGGAAGTCAATGCAAAGGCCCCATAAAGATAGCAAAACAAACCTGTGTGTGTGTGTGTGTGTGTTGTTGTTCTTGTTGTTTTATTATAAATAAATAAAAAGTGCATTATGGGACTCTGTAGTTCTAGGTATTGTCCACCAGGGGGCCTGAGTCATCCAGACCTTCTTACCCGCAGTTTTTAACGCCTGAAACTTTTCAGATGTTCAGTTTTAGGTTTGGGATCTTTTTGTATTTTTTAATGTAGTAATATTTAAAACAAAACATGCTTTTTATTGCATTTGTTCCACTCTGGATGTGGATTTTACTGAAGGCGTTCAACCTTAATTTTGAATATATTTTAAAAAAAAATTTTTAATTTTTTTTTTTTTTTAGGATTTTGTCAGTGTTTTTAATTCTCATGTGTTCTCTCAGGGGCCCTTCTAATCCTGTCGGTCAGATCCCTGTTTTTCCACTTCGGGCAGAGAAATGCTGGCAGTGGGAGCTAATCTGGGTTTATCTGATTGTTTTCTCTCAGACTGAAGCAGCTGCTGCTCAGAACTGACCTGCAGAAGTTTTTATCCGGGTTTTATTTATTTTCATGAGGAGAAACCAGGACTTCTATGATCAGCATGATCGTTTCAGTTTATTTCCAGAAAGACTGAAAGGGTCTGAAAGTCAACCGGTAAGGTTTGTTTTTTCTAATAAAATTAACCTGTCTAGTCTAACTTTATTTGGATATAAAATAAAAGCTTTCTGTGAAGGAGTGCACATCACCTCCTTCATTTCTTACCAGAACTAAGATATATGCTTAAATCCTGAAATACTTTCTCTGGTGACGTAGCCCTCAGAGTATGTGTTGGGAGTGACTCTCAGCTACTACCACACCAAATTATAGCTCAGAATTTGTAAAATTTATGTAGTTAAAGCAATTATAGTGTTTCATAAGATTTGCTGTGATCTTGAATTATATTGACTCCAGAAGTTAAACAGCTGTAGATGGTTATTGGGAGTTTAATTTAAACACATCCACTGATGTAAGAGATGTTTTGCTAACAGACATGCAAGATTGACTAAAATAGTTAACTTTATGTCGCATAGTGTGTTGTACTCATATGGTATGGAGTTATCTGACTGTGGCGGCCATCTTAAATCAGTTTTTCAGTTATGGTTATGATGGTGTCATTAAAATTCCTGTGATATTTTGCTAACAGTGTTGATTACTATAGTTTTTGACAACGTTTTAAATGCAGATCTTGCAGGATCAGTTTGCACTCAAATGTAAGTCGGGGACGATTATAGCTCGATATGTATAAAATTCACATTTTGTGTTGACTGATTAGTTAACTATGGTGGCCATCTTGAACTGATTTGACTCCAAAAGTTAATTTTATTTAAGAAGCATGTGGATTATTAAAAATCTGGCCTTTTTATGTTTACCACATAAATGTTAATTAAGATGTCATCATGTGCAGGTTTTTATTATTGTCACATCTTATTGTGTTAGAAAAAAAACACAAATGTGATGTTAAATAAGTCTTTCTGCCAACTTATTTTAAACAGACATCAAATTAAGATTATTTTTTCAAAAGCCTGAAAAGGTTGAAAAGCACTGAGATGAGGTTTTCTTTTTTTTTGTTGCTTTCATTAGTCCCCGAAACTTTAGATGTGTTAGAAATAAAAAGGTCTGAAACAGAAAAGATGTTTAAAACTCTGCTAAAGTTCAGTTTTTGTGCTTTTTTTTTTTGCAGCATGTCGTTTAAAACCGTAAACAAATTGTGCGTAAACAGCAGCTGTGATGCTGACGAACATGTGTCCATTCACAGCTGAAAGCAGCAGTCTTGGTTGTTCTGAGTGATTGAGCTCTGGTTGGAGATGACGGGTCAGAAGCTGGATCTGACGGGACTGACGGACACCGAGGCTGCACATGTCCTACAGGTGGTCCAGAGGGACATGAGGCTCCGCAAGAAGGAGGAGGAGAGACTCTGGTGAGGTCTGACCCCCACGGTGCACAACTGCAATGGAAGAGCTTTAAGTTGCTCCTTCTCAAGTCAAACTTTTATCAAACTAGTTCATCAACTAGAGACACTGATACTGAGAGCTAAACACTGCTGAAATTAACTGAAGAACCTAAAACTGTGTTCTTAAAGCTAACAGAACACGAGCTAAAAGTAGTGAAATTCTAGTTTAAGGCCAAATTTAGATAAACACTAGCTAAAAGTAGCAAAAAGCTAGCAACAAGCAAAAAGAAACAAGGCTAGCTTCAAGCCTAAAGTAGCAAAAGACTAGCTAAATCTAATGGGTTAGCTAACAGCTTAAAGTAGCAAAAACAGACTAGTCTAAAGCTAAAAGTTGCAAAAGCATAGCTACATGCTGTAAAAGTCTAAATACATACAAGAACAAAACTACAAAAACTTTTTTTTTTAAGTCTTCAGTTGATCCAAAATTCTGCTGCCAGAGTCTTAACTGGAGTTAGTGGGAGAGATCATATCTCCCCAGTTTTAGCTTCTTTCCATTGGCTCCCTGTCAAATTCAGAATTGAATTCAAAATCTTACTTCTAAGCAACAAAGCCCTCAACAACCTAGCTCCATCTTATATTACAGATCTTATTGTTCCATATTTTTCAAACGGAGCACTTTGCTCTCAGACTGCAGGTTTACTTGTGGTTCCTAGAGTTTCCACGAGCAGAATAGAAGGAAGATCTTTCAGTTATCAGGCTCCTCTCTTGTGGAACCAACTTCCAGTTTCTGTCCATGAGGCTGACACATTGTCCAGTTTGAAGACTGGGATTAAGACTTTCCTTTTTGATAAATCCTATAGTTATGGTTGGCTTGTTATGCTGCTATAGGCATAGACTACCGGAGGACAAACTGACATTTCTTCAAATGAATTGTTTGCATTTGAAATTATTTCTATCTTAACATGTGATTCTTGACCTGCCATTGTGTATCTGTTCCTCTCAAACCCAGCCGGTCGAAGCAGATGGACGCTTGTCCTGAGTCTGGTTCTGCTAAAGGTTTTTTCCTCATGAGAGTTTTTCCTTTCCACTGTCACCTTCATGCTTGCTCAAGATGAGAGTCTGTGATGGAGTTAAATTCAAAGTAGTCTGATAATCGGATAAATAATGTTGTTAACTTACTTTTATTTATATGAATGTTTCTGTTCAGTGCCCTGACACGACTTCTGTTGTGACTTGGTGATATATAAATAAACTGAACTGAACTGAATTGAATTACAAGATAAAGGCAACAACACTAGCTAGCTAAAAGCTAAAATAAGTTTTAGAAGGCAAAACTAGAGCAAACATTTTGGAAGTAAATTTCAAAGACAAGAATGTTTTTGAAGGAACTGAAGGGTGTCCATGCATTTTTACGAGTAAAATAATTGTAAATAAAGTGAAATATTTTGAAAAGGCTTTTGTCACAAAACCCATAAGTCATAGCACCAATTCCCTAAATGAGCAGGTTGTTTTGACATGAATGAATGGCTAAAATCGCACTAAGTAGCTATATCAATGCACTTGTATTGTAAAAAAGTATAAAAAAGGAAAAATCATTGTGTGAATGTTGAACGAACATTCCCACTACAATTTGATGAGTCAAGAGAAATCAACTCTGAAAACGGAATAAAACAACATTTGTTCTAAAGCTGTGCTCATCCCAGGATCCAGACTCTTTTTGAGCCCGGTTTGTATCTGAGGCACTTTTAGTGCTCGATGAGGATTTCCTGAAGTGAAACGCCTTCTTGCTGAACTGAGATCAGCATCCTGAGCCTGAACTCAAAGACTCAGTAAAATGGTAATTAGGCGGCTCTGGTCTGAGTCTGTGCTGTCTGAGACGTACAATGGCAGGAAGTGATTGCTAAAGATTGTGTAACGTCCCTGTACTTTATTTAGAAATGATTCAGCTCGCAGCATTTATCCACTCCAAACAGAGAAGCCTAATGGCTTCAGTTTCCTTCATATTTCAACAGCAAAAAGCCTTCAAATAATAATAAAGAAACATGTTGGTTTGTTGTGGCTCTGTGGAACAACACACTGATCTCAAAGAGCTGAAAAAATGCTGCAACTTCTGAGAAGCCATGTCTTATTGTCACATTTCACCTTGTTTGATTTAGTAGGTGTGTTTATGGCATCTGCAGAAATATTCTAAACATTTTATTTTTATATTCAGCAAATATTTAGGGAGTATTTGGGAGCTTTTTAATGTTGCATGTTGTCAATTATCCAGGTCCCGGTAACCCCGAGTTTTGTTGTTAAATCGGGCAGCTTTCTTTCTTTCTTGAAGCGGTTTCACCTTTTATCCTGAAAGACCTCTTCAGTTTGAACTTCCTTTCAGGACCGATTTAAACCTGAGAGATGAAGAAGTAATATTTACACTTTAGTTGACATTTGTCACTTGTCCTGGATCCTGAATTTGTCAGACAATGTGTTGTTTTCAGTTTTCTGCCACGATATTTTGTTTTGCTTGACCAAATATGTGACCCATGCTGGCAAAATGAGTCAGAATGAGCTCAAGCTGCAGTAAAAAAAAACGTATAATTATAGATATTTGCTATAATTGAGTTTTTATTTTTATTTATCTACAAAAATATGTCCATAAATACACCATCTATCAATCTAAATAACTAAAAATGGCATATATTCTTCATAATCTACTTTTAAATCAAAGTTTTCTAACGGTTCAGAAATATTCCTTTCGATCTTTGACCATTTTCTCTGCTGGCTGCCATTGCACTGGGAAATCCCTTCATGCAGTATTCGGTGTCATTGGGATTACCATTTTTTAAAATAGGGCTGGAATTCTCCACGAATTAATCCAGACCAAATAAAATCAAGCTTCACACGAGCGTGAACAAAACAAGCTCGTTTTCAGGCCAGGTAATAAAACGCCAAATTTCAACCAATTACATTATATTTTGAAGCTTTTGAAAAAGCTGAAAAAATTTTTAAACTAATTATCATTGTGACTTATTTTAGAATGACTTGAACTTTCAGCCTTTACAAAAATCTTGAGTCAAAAAACAAATTGACGCCATTGAAATGAGCCCATTGGCGCTCCCTGCTGGTAGAAAGAATCACAACAGGGATATTTTATAAGATTATCTATTGTCTATGACATTCTTGTTCAAATCTTTAAAATCAAATGTTTTCTCTGGATTGTTGCAGCTAATCTAATCTATTGTGAAGGCTGAGAAGCTTAACTGATTTACTCTTCAGCTGAAACTGTATCTTCTTTTATGTGCAGTCCAGCGTTGTGCAAGTGCTCGTTACCTCACAGTGAACATCTCGCCGTCTGAGTCTGAGTGTACCTGAGAGTGTCCGAGTTATTTATACCCACAGTTAGGCTGCAGGCTGCAGTAATGGATGTGCTGCAGGAGTCGCTCTTCCCTCAGACAGGACACGGTAAAATGTTTATAGGCCAAGGCTTACAGGTTCAAACATTTTGTACAAATAAATTTATTTTTCCAACCCTTTTACAAGAAGAAACTTTATCAGAGAGTTGGAGTAGAGCTGGTGCTGCTTGCAATGGTGTTAAAAAGGTCTTTACTGCTGTGACTGTAATATGACAGAATTAAATGCTGCACTAATTAAATACTTTTAAAATAATTTAGGATTTTAGAATAAATAAAAAATAGCCTAAAAATAATAATTAAACATTTGGTTTTACTTTTTATCCCCAGCCTCTGAAAGGAAAGATGGATGAAAAGGTTTCTGCGTCTCCGTTTGCAAAAACTGTCATAAAACGCTTGACTGAGTTTAATGAAACTTTTAGAAAATGATCGTTGGATGTTCTTCAGCTGATTAACTGCTGACGACAACCCAATTCAAGATGGCCGATGCAGACGACTGATGTTAAAATGCCTATAATTCAGTCACATTTACAGATACTGAGCTAAAATTTGGTGCGGTAGTAGCTGAGAGTGATCCCCAACACAAGACTCATTTCTCAACATGGGATCATTTTTTCCTCTTTAGCTTCAAACACTTTCAGTAAAAGACTCTGATAATTCATAAAACAGCTTTTGAATTTCTAACTTCCTTCATTTATTCCCAGAAATTGTTAAAACGCTCCAGTGTTTTTTTTGTTTCCTGTGCCCTCCTCTCATCAGACCTGATCAGTATTCATCTGTAATCAACGAAGAAACGATTCAGTCGTGGTTGGAGCGCCTGCTGTTCTAATCTTTTTTGACACTTCTGGTGCGACCCGCCGTCTCCGTCTGCAAATCATCCGTCAGGTCTCTGATTTATTATCTGTTGGACGTCGCTGCTTCTGTTTGAGCTGTTCTGAATTTTTTTTAAAATTTTTTATTAAAGAATTAAATGTGGCACAGAAACAAAAATCAATAAATCTCATTTTCATGCATCATAGTTTTTAGAAATCGCAGCAGAAATTATAATTTTAACAGAGAGGTCACACAATTCATGATGGATTTTACAAAACAATCTGCTTTATTGTCCCATTGGAGTTATGTTAGTTAAAACTTTTACAAAAGATAAAGCAAACCCATACAAATGGGATCTACATGAATTGCTAAACTCCCCTTGTGAAAATGTACACAATGTTTACAACCACATTGATGAGCTAATAACATAATCTGAGCAGGATTCCACGTGGATTGCTGCAGCCCTAAAACAACTCCACTGTTTCAAACTTCGCAGCCGTTCATGCAAACTTGATTGCTGAAGTTATTTTTAGCCGGAAAATCATAATAAATAAAGGAATTACCCACAGGCTGAACTAGAAGTGCTGCAGCAGCTGCTGCTACTTGTGCTAACAAATAATCAGATTAAATAATCCTGAAATGTAAAATTAAAAGGTTTATCAGAAAAGCTTTTAAAGTTGAGCCATTTTCAAGTTGTTTTTAACTTTTGGGTCTGAGCCCAGATTGAACTAGCTGTTAACTTGTCCGTCATGTCAGAGTTCAACTCTTATTTCTCTAAACTGAGGCGATTCAAACATCTATCCACAACAGGCAAGATACTGACTATTCATAAACCTTCTATGAAAGCCCACATCTGAATTTCTGGTCTGTCCTTTAAAGAACTTGATTCTCTGCTTCTGCATAGGACAGTGTTCATGTGAAGGCACGGTGGCACAGTTTGTAGAGCTGACGCCACTCAGCGAGACGGTTGCCGGTGGAGTTTGCATGTTCTCTCCGTGCATGTGTGCGTGTTCACCAGGTACTCCAGTTTCCTCCCACAGACCAAAAACATGCGCGTTAGGCTGATTGGTAACTCTAAGTGAGAGAGTGAATGGTTGTTTGTCTCTACTGGAGACCTGTCCAGGGTGTCCCCCGCCTCTCACGCAGTGATGGCTGGACATGGACACCAGAGACCATCGTGACCTGGAAAGAAAAGCTGGATAAAAAGATAACTGATGGATGGAATACAGTCATGGGCTCTCTTATGCGGTGATACATTTTCATGTGATGTTTAAAACATTTTTTTTTCCACAACTTGTCTTTTATATACAGCAAAAATAATAAGTCTTCCCACAAAATTAATTAAATGAAGTAAATTTCTCTTTTTATGTTGTGTCATTTGTACTAATGACATTTTACCAGCCTATAAAGGGACAAATTGACCGAGTTGATAAGAACATTTTAATTTCTGTTTTGTTTCAGTCGAGGGATTCACCACGTTTGACTCCGTAATCCTTAATCTGGTCAAAACAAACTCGTCCTACACATTCACTCACACACTCAGTTTTTTAAAAACGGAAATCTCACACCTTCCTCTCCCATCCCTCGCTCCCTCTCAGTGAACTGAAGCAGGAGCTGGATGAGGAGAGCAGTCGCTGCCTCCTGCTGTCGCGGCAGACCTGCTTCAACCAGCGCTGCTGCATCCGCTGCTGCTCGCCTTTCACCTTCCTGCTCAACCCCAAACGCCGCTGCCGAGACTGCAGCTACCACGTCTGCAGGGCCTGCCGGGTCTACAACAAGCGGGACCGAGCCTGGCTCTGCTGCACCTGCCAGAAGAGCAGGTAAGCTCCGAACGGTCACTTAGGATGAGAGGTGATGTTAAAGGTTATTAAGGTTTCGTTTCAGGATGTAATGTGTGATGAAGTCTGTGTTTATATAACAGTTTCATAAGCAGTGAGTATTTTTTATTATTTTGAATGCTTCATGTTTATGTAGATTCAAATCGTAGCACAATATAAGGTTGGAAATTTATATTGGTTTCATATTAAACTTGATTGAATGCACCAAAAAGTAGTTTTCAATTGATATGTAATTATCAATGCAGCAGAAAGGTGACAGCAAATGATATTTCTGAACAAGTCTGTATCTATTTTCAAAATATCTCATGAACCACTGAAAGAATTTTAATGGAGTTGATGTGGCTGGGAGTCATTCACAACATGTACTCAAATGCATCACCTCACAATGTTGCAGGAGGTCGAGCACAATGTTCTGTTTAAGGCAGGGCTATTCAAGTGGTGGTCCGGGGGCCAAATCAAGCCCACGGGCGTGCTCAGTTCAGCCCACCAGTGGGTTTGTTTTTAAATAAAACTTGATTTTAAATGATAAGACACCATTTCTTAATGAGAATAACTGCTGACGGGCAGCACGGTGGCGCAACTGGTAGAGCTGCTGCCTCTCAGTGAACAGGTCCCTGGTTCAAACCCCGGTCCAGGGGCCTTCTGGGTGGAGTTTGCATGTTCTCTCCGTGCATGCGTGGGTTTTCTCCGGGTACTCCGGTTTCCTCCCACAGACCAAAAACATGCATGTTAGGCTGATTGGTAACTCTAAATTGTCCCTAGGTGTGAGTGAGAGAGTGAATGGTTGTTTGTCTCGTTTGTCTCAATGTGTCCCTGTGATGGACTTGCGACCCGTCCAGGGTGCATCCCGCCCCTCGCACAGTGATTGCTGGACATGGGCACCAGCGACCCCCGTGACCCAAAATGGAATAAACGGGTAAAGATAATGGATGGATGAATAACTGCTGACGGTGCAGTTCCTGTGCAATTTAGTTGAATAGTCCTGTTTTAAGGTTTGACCAAAATGGCTACACGTCTGTCATTTCTCATCACACAAAGATCTCAAATTGTTTTTTTCTGTCTCTCAGATTGTTGAAGACGCAGTCCCTTGAGTGGTTCTACACAAATGTAAAGAAACGCTTTAAGAGGTTTGGCAGCGCCAAAGTGCTGAAGACGCTCTACAGGAAACACCTGGCGGAGCACAGCTCACTCTCAGAGCTTACTGGTAAAATACTGTAAATCTTATAAACTTGAGTTTGAGTCTACCTGGTCAGGGCAGAAACAAACAGAAACAAAATGTTGTGAAATGTTTTATGTTTGAAATATGGAAAAAATTTAAATGACATACAACACCTTTAAAATTCAGGGTTCAGTCGGTTTAGATGATTTAAATTTTTATTTTATTAAGTTGGGTGCACTAATGCACAGCCAAAAAAATAAAATAAAATAGCACACCCAAATGAAATTAGATGCTGTTCATAAACTTTCTGGTGTAATGCAAAAGTTGGTCTCTTCAAAGAATTTTAACCTCAGCTGTCAATATATTTTCGGCTCTGTGGAGGCTGATCAACCCAGCTGGTCACAGCAGGTGTCAATCAAAAGGTGACGGCCTACACGGCCATTTTGACGCTGTATGTCGTATATTTGAAACTCCTAGCGAAATCTGAGGTGAGCTTTGCAGCAGGCAGCCAAGCTGAAAATGTATTTGTTGTTGTTTTCTCTTTACGGCATCTGTTCCAGCGTGTAGATCTGCTCAGGGACGGAGTCGTAGAGCATCTCAGCTCCATTAGTTCTGATGAACTGTGTTTGGTGGAGGGGAGGTATCCAGCTGCAGATGATGTAGAGCCGTGGGCGGACATGGGACCGGCCCTCATCTGCTCAAACACACACCGACTATAAAACATATTATCATTTGACCAGAAAGCAAGAGCGGTGTGAGCTGACTACCATCCCCATAAATCATCCTGACATTTATATATTGTGCTATTGTGAACGTATAAAAAAGGAAACATTTTCCCTAAAGGCCAAATACGAATGAAAAAAAGGACAAGAGATCTGAGAAACACTGAGGAGCTGAAGAAAAATCTAAAGATAAATACTGTTTTCCTAGAGGTTTTACTAAATGTAGCACAAAACCACAAATTGTCTACTACTGTACATGTGTCCGTTAGCAAAATATCTAATAAAAAAGATGTATAAAGGCAGCAGCCCAAGGAGTAAAGATGAAAATGTACCAGTGTGAGAGTCTGCGTGAAGTTAATGATGACCAGTTGACCAAAGAGTACAGGGTGCAGTGGTGGGTACGGTAGTTACAACCAGTTATGAATCTTAGCGTGTCATGATAGACAGGGTCCAACATCTGTACAGTGCTTGCAGGAGCATTTATGTAAACAATGTCACCGTAGTCAGTGGCCGGAAGGAAAGTAGCAGCTACAAGGCGTTTACTAGCATTCAGAGCTAAGTAAGATCTATTTGTGAAAAAGAAACCCAATTTTAATTTCAGTTTCTTTATCAAGTTTTCAACATAAGGCTTAAGAGAGATATTGAGCTAAAGTTTAATGTGGTAGTAGCTGAGAGTGATTCACAACACGTACCCTGAGTTTCATTTGAACGAACCCCTGCAGAATAAAAAAAGAAGCATTTTCTGTATTTTATTTAAATGCTAACTTGACTTTAAGTGCTGTCTGTAGCCTGATTGTCAGTGACCTCGTTTACCAGACAGAACATTTTGAGCAGGCTCTGCTGCAGACAGCTCAGTCACCTAAAGCCTCACATGAGGGGACTCTAATGCACTTATATAACCACAAACCAACGCATTGTTGCAGGAATATTTGCCCGGCGTGAAAAAACAAGGAGTCCAAAGTGCGACTGAGCTCTGCTGCGCAGTCGTTTCTCGTATATTTAAAAAATACAAACGTTTTTCTTTCTTTCAGCTTAGTTTTTCATTTTGTTTAATTGCTTTTTTAAGCAAACAAGATCTGAATCTCTCACAAATTCAACATACATTTTGAAAGCAATAATAACGTTGTGCTCTATCCACGGTTACCAATAAGAAAATATTCACAAAAAAGGAGTTTAATTTGGAGACGTGAGCTCAGACTCGGGTGAAATGAAACCAAACTTGATAGGAAACATAAGCGTTTCCTGTCGTTGCTCTGATATTTTTAGGTCATAAATGAAACATAATAAAATGAATGGAAAACACAAGAGGGAGCATTTTTCATTTCTTTAATCCTCCATCTGATTTGAATCTACAGTGATCCTGTTTCAAGGTTAAACCCCCACAGATGTCTTGTATTGGTCTTTTCATGTCAACATCTGTGTGTGTGTGTGTGTGTGTGTGTGTGTGTGTGTGTGTGTGTGTGTGTGTGTGTGTGTGTGTGTGTGTGTGTCTGCAGAGGGCAGCGCCTATGAAGAGAGCATCTGCAATGAGAGCAGCATCTGTGGGAGCGACTCCACTTTCTACTGGCATGCTGAAGGTGCGCACAGTTCACGTTCATACTGTAAACCTGTTTTTAACAATGATTATAGCGTCACGCCACTGGTTTTCATTTAAACACATCATTTATTAGACCCTCAATCAAGAAAACTGCTCAGGGGGCCCCAGTAACTGAAAGCCAGCAGCTCAGGGACCGGACATCCAGCAGTTAAAGTTATTATGTAAATAAACCAAGTATTTATTACAATGATATGTTTGTTATCTTTTCAGTTTGTTTGTTTTATTGCACTGAATGATAAATGCAATAAACAAAACTCCCTCCCAACAAAAATTATTATTATTATTTTAATGAACTCATTGGTGGGCCGGACTGAAGTCACCCACGGGCCGGAAGTGGCCCACAGGCCACCAGTTGAATAACGCTGCTTTAGATGTTCTCTGGTAAAAACAAACACGACCAACAAAGTTCAGTTGCAAGACCGTCCTCCTAAATGTTTTACCCCTACCCCCCCCCCCCCCCCCCCCAAAAAAAATCAATTGTTTACTCAAAAAAAAAAATCATGGATGTGGAAAATTAAGTTTTGTGCATCTAACTGTTGAGGTAAGGATAGACATGTGACCTACTTAACCAGTATTTGTATAAATAATAATAATTAAAAAAATTAAGAAAAAGTTTTCAAAAAGAAGTCTGCCTTTAAAAGTGGTCAAAAGTTTGAGTGAGGAATTTAAAATGCAACACTTCAGCACAAACTTTATTACAGTAAATAAAACAACCAAACACTTGAATATTGTCCATCAAAGAGCGATATAATGAAAATGTGATTTATAAATTTTTAAATGTTGTGAATAAGTTGTTTTGATAAATAAATCTTTACTTGGATTAAAGTTTTAATACGAGAGATGAGTAAACTTCATGCATCAGAACATGCATCACCTTCCTGTGATCCATGTTTTTATGTTTAAGGCAAATTTTTGATATTTTAGTTTATTTTGTTTTGTTAATATGAGTGCATTTATCACCACACTACTTGAAGTTGGTGAGGCTACAGAAATAAGCAAACTTATCAATGTTTTTTCTTGTTTTTTTGATCCTCTGATGTTTCTGGACTCTGATCTCGGCTCTTTACATTTCCCCAATTTACATCAGCTAAAATGGCAGAGAAATAAAAAGTTAAAATACTTTAGGCTCCCAGATTCTTAGTAGCACCAAATCCACACGTGCTGGTTTGTCTTGTGTCTCTTCCGTCCTGACTAATGATTTTTTTGCACAAATTAAATGAGTCTGCAGACAGAGAGGCAGAGCTGCAGCCTGATACTCGTGTTTCTGTCTGTGGAGTCTGAATTCAATCCAGTTTATTTATAAAGCGCCAAGTCACGACAAAAAGTCATTTCAGAGCACTTAACAGAAACATTCACATACATTTAAAAAAAGCCAGTTACTAAAAGTTATCTAAGGAAACCAGCAGACACGTTGAATCTTCACTTTGTCGCAGTCTCCCATCCTCAGCAAGCCGAAAGGAAAAACTCCCTTTGAACAGGAAGAAACCTCCAGCAGAACCAGGCTCAGGACGAGAGGCCATCTGCTTAGTCCGGCTGGGATTTGAGAGGACAGGAAGGAGAAACAAACTGCCATAGAATGGCAAGTCCAGGTTTATGTTCTATAGAAAAAAAAAAACATGTTAAAGATAGAAATACAAACAGGTAGAGTAGAGCAAGTAAAGACAGCAGCAGTGAGGGAATGTGGTCAGTTTGTCCTCCAGCAGTCTAATCCTGTAGCAGCATAACTCTCACAGCTCAAGAAACCCGAGCCAACCCTAACTATAGGATTTATCAAAAAGGAAAGTCTTAAGCCCAGTTTTAAAACTGGACAATGTGTCAGCCTCACGGACAGAAACTGGAAGTTGGTTCCACAAGAGAGGAGCTTGATAACTAAAAGATCTTCCTCCCATTCTGCTTTTGGAAACTCTAGGAGCCACACGTAAACCTGAAGTCTGAGAGCGAAGTGCTCTGTTAGGAAAATATGGAACAATAAGATGTGTAATATAAGATGGAGCTAGGTTGTTGATGGCTTTGTAGGTTAGAAGATGAATCCTATTCTGAAAGAATGAGAGCAAAAAGGCAGAATTAAACTGCGAAGGACTGATTGCATGTTATTTTCATGTTATGGGTTTGATTACACGTGGGATCATGATAAATGTGTTTGTGTTCAGAGCACAGCATGGAGGAGACGCTCAGTGTGGCCACGAGGGTTGCAGAGGAAGCCATAGATGAAGCCATATCTAACGCGGAGTTTGACACGTCCACGCAGGTGATTTCTGTTTGTCTTTTCTTTAAATGTCTGCTTGCTGCAGTCATTATAACTCACTAGTTGATGATATTATAAATATTTGTGCAGAGTGACATTAAAGAGGCTCTCGTATGATCTTATGTTAGCACTGTGGCATCATTCGTCCTTTAGTCTGATGGCTTATTTCTCTCAGATTGAGTGAAACCTTTGGGTTTCTGCTGCAGTTAAAACATAATTTTAATGGTGTTGAAAGCCACGGATGTTCAAAGAAACATGTTTAAATACGTTAAGAATACGGATTACAAGAAAGACAAATTGATAAATGGAAAAAGTTTAAAATTCGTTTTGTCTCACTTTGGAGATTCAGCCTGTTTTTACATAAAACGGAACAAAAAAAAGTTTTTTATAGATAAACCTTCACTAATCATTGTAGGATCTCTAAAAGAGAACATTTATCCTTAATCTTCTTATGCATGCATATTTTTTATTGTCTAAATAATCTGTAAATTAAATCCTAAAAGCGGATTCTGCTGCTTATTTCTTAAACTTTATGCCAGGAAAAATAAATCCTAAGATCAATTGAAATACTCTGAAGCGTTTGACTCTGTATATTTAGAGAAATAATCGGTTTACTGTACATGTTTGTTGTTGAATAGATGTCCTAATTGTGTGGGTCTTTTTCCTCAGGAGAAGCAGAACGAAGCCTGTTATCTGCGGCAGCACAGAGGAGAGCTCATCGAGGAACTGGCCAAAACTATTGTTCAAAAAGTAAAAAGCAGAATTAATCTGCACAGCAGCAGATGATTCGTTATTGAAATAATTCATTTTCGGTTTAAAGTCGGTTTCAAATGCTTCTAGAAAAACCCGTCATGAGGGGGTTAAACTCAAACCTTCTACACATTAGGAAACAAAAGCGTTCATTTTCTGCCCTGTGTGTGCTCAGAGCTAATCCTGCTCTCTGTGTGTAAGATCATTAGCAGGAGGAATGCTTTGGCTGAGATGAAGGCTGAATATGACGACAGCTGGCCCCTGGAGCACGCTGCTGACCTTCATCATCATCACCAGCCTCCCTGTGACCGAGCCCCCAGCTGCCTGAAACCAGACCTCTGGGTAAAAACTGCAGCAAACATCAAAACTCACTTTGTTATTCATTACCAGCCCTAAAAGGCCCAGGATATAATGTATGTGAAGGCCTGAAGAATGCAGGAGTGGCTATACACCTATCAGCCATAACATTATGACTACTGATGAAAATTAAAAGGGTACCACTTTACAGTAAGGCTCCCCTTATAGATGGCTAAAAATTAGTTTATAGGTACATTATTAGTTCTGCTTTAAATACTTTATAAAGCATTAATAATTCTTTATTATGCATTAATTAAGAGTGACAGAGAGACAAAATTGACCAGTGAGCCAAATCTGTTCATCTATATGTTTTATCTAGAGTTGTTATATTAAACATTTCAGAGTAAATTACTACCTTGTGAGCACAATAAACATTTGTAAACCTATTTTTTAGGATGTAATAATTGTAGATACTTATAATGCAGTGATGAAGTACAAAATTATATGCTAAAGAAATATGTTTACAAATGCTTATTGTGCTTACAAGGAAGCAACTTAGTCTGAAATGTTTAACAACTCTAGATGAAATATATAGGTGGCAGATTTGGCAAGAAACTGGTCAGTTTAGTCTCTCTGTCACTCTTAATTAATGCATAATAAACAACTATTAATGCTTTATAAAGTATTTAAAGCGGAACTAATAATATATCTATACACTAATTATTAGCATCTATAAGGGGAGCCTTACTGTAAAGTGGTACCCTTTTAATTTTCATCAGTAGTCATAATGTTATGGCTGATAGGCGTATAGCCACTCTTGCATTCTTCAGGCTTTCACATACATTATATCCTGGGCCTTTTAACAATTTAAACAATTATTAATGATTTATAAAGTGTTTATAGAGGCATTAATAACATATCTATAAACTATGTATTAGCATCTATAAGGGGAGCCTTATTGTAAAGTGGTACCATTAAAAGTCCAGCATTTCTGTATAGGAATAAATAAACCACCTTTATGTAATAGTTTGAGTTAAGATATATTCCGAAAGGATGGAGTTGGAGAAGTTTCTATCAAACCTTGTGCATGTTATGTGAGATCATGTTAAAATTTAACAAATCTCAGCTGCAAACCATGTTTTTAGCTCAATATCTGTAAAACCTGACTGAGTTATGTATTTGATTGCAGCTATCTTGAATCAACAAACCCACAACAAGCAAACATCTTTTTGCCTTGGGTGGCACGCTGTCAAAATAAACATCATTTTGTTAAAAAGGCAACATTCTGCTGGAAAAACCTGCATTCTCACTTTCCATCTCAATTTTCTTGAAGCCCAGCCGCACTCCTCAGTTGTAGTAAAGTGTTTGTGTTTACCTGATCTTCAAACTCCCCAGATACAAATCTGAAGGTGTTTGTGGAAACAGACCTCACACCAGACCCACAGATGCTGTTGCAAGTGGTCATAATGTTATGGCTCACCAATAAAACACGTTATCCTATCTATTTACTATACAGATGCAATGTTTAAATGAAGAGTAAAAAAGATTTCTACAACTTGTTTTAAGAATGATTTTCTCCACTTTGTCTCAAATCTTTATTTTAGGTAGTAATCGTTTCAAGTGTCGAGTCTTTGTTTAATCATTTGAAGATCTTTGAAAATCCTTAGAATTTAGTTATTTAGAAGTTTATACATGGCTCATAGAGGCTTTATTTTTCCTCAGCATTTGCGTTTTTATATAACTGTCGAATTGCTTTATTAAAATGACATCTTTGTTTTTTGCACACTGACCTCTGCTGGTTAAACAACTCAACTTTTGATGGTTGTCTGCAGAGAAGATTAACTAAACACACTAATCTGTTTTGTTTTTCCTCCACCTGTGCTCTCAGAGGTCACATGTGACCTTCATGCCGATGGACAAAGACTCTTCTGCTCTTGAACCTGATGTTCCATCAGCTTTAAAGAAGGAGGGCAGCGGCTCGGCCATGACTGCGTGGAGTGTAGATCGACTTGACAACTCAGGTGAGACATTATTTAACCTTAAAGGTTCAAGAGTTAGTTGCTGCACAATCGTTTAACGCTGCTCCAAACACCGATGCTCAAAGGTTTTCAAAGATGAAGATTTTCAGAATCGCATCAGTCCAAATATGTCTAATAAAGTGGAAAACATAAATATGTCGCTTCGCCGTATAAGTCGCATCTATTATGTGTCACATTTGTTACACGTCACCACTGACAACCCGGAAATGTGGGCCGGTGTGACAAAAATCGATTGGCTGCCAAATGGCAGCCGAGGGAGCATGCAGGGGAGGACTTTAACAAGAATTTAACAAGATCAACACTTAAAAACAATTATTTGTTTGCTCGAAGTTATAGCAAAGGTGTGTCTCAGTCTAACTTTTCCTTAATAAATGCACTTTAATGGTCAAATCAGCTGCATTTCAAAAGCCAATACACAGAAACATGAATGCGCAGAGGGCGACTCGCTGAGCATTTTTTCGAAGTTTAACAAGATAAGCACCTAAAAACAATTATTTGTTTGCTCAACTTTATAGTAAAGGTGTGTCTCAGTTGAACTTTTCCTTAATAAATGCACTTCAATGGTCAAATCAGCTGCATTTCACTGGGGCAGCGCAGTGAAATGCAGCTGATTTAATGGTTGCTCCAGGCAGACGATGGTGGGAGTCCGTCAGGCCAATTGTGTCATTAATAGCCACTTTTACCTATTACATAATACAATGGCATGCCATACTATTGAGTGCCATCTAGTGGCTGAAAATGATAGTGTTCAATATTTTCAGTCAATGAATGAAAACGGTCATATCTCAGCCAAAAATTGGTTTATAAATATGGAAAAAAATCTATAAATACATCGATTCGGGGTGTAAGTCGCAGGACATGCAAATTATGCAAAAAACTGTGACTTATAGGGTGAAAAATACGGTAAGTTCTGTCAGCTAAAACTCCTTCCACTGTGCTTTTTTTTTTAACCATCTCTCAGTGCTGAAGAGTCCAGACGGGAACTGGATCGCCCTGCAGAGCGCCCAGCTGTCCCGCCCCACCCTCCTCACTCAAAGGAAGAGCCTGGTCTACAGCGCCTTGGAGAAGGAGTCCAGAGTGATGTCAGCCTACGAAGGTCTGGAATCAGACAGTGAAAGCAAACCAGAGCCCGACAGCTCCTGGGGAGCCGTCCTGAAGGAGATCCACAGGAAGATGATGGACTCCAACCTCCACCTGAACGACTGTGACAACAGCGACACGCCTCTGATGGAGCACCGGATCAGCAGAGACGATCTGTTTTCAGACTCCGAGGGGAACTGGAAGCTAGCTCTTCTGAAGCGGAAGGTGCCAGCAGAGATCAGGAAACCTTCATCGTCGCGCAGGACCAGCATCATCGATGTGAACTTTAACCTGACAGGAGATGGAGAGAGCAAGGAGGAGACCAAGATGGCTGCCGAACCGGAGACGAGGAAAATCAGGAGATCACGGAAGAAGATGAGCAAAAAAGCAGCTTCTTCCTCTGTTTCGGTATGAAATAAGTAACGTTTACTGATGAGATCAGAATTTATCTGGCAATCATTTATATTGTCATTTACCTAATCAGGCAAAAAAAAAAAGCAAATATCCACCTTTTGTGTGAGTATTCTATGCTTTTATGTTTTGAGGTGTTGAAACATGTTTGATTTGAAGATTTTTTTTTTTTTTTTGGTTTTGTTGATTAGTTGAGATTGAGGAAAAACACAAACCAAAAAGATGAAAACGATGAATCACCACATCTAAAAAACAAAAACAAATAAGATTTATTAAAGGGCAGATTGCTTTAGATTATTTGTAGATCTTTAAGAACAGATGAGCACATTGTTTTCAAAGAAAACAATCAGTCAAACATGTATGTATGTATGTACAGTATGTATGAACATGTATGTACAGTATGTGTTTGAGTTGCAGCTTTTCAAACCCTCAAAACTAAACTTACTGGAATTTAAATACTAAACTGTACAATTCCTTAAATTTGCAGGATTCCCACAACAAGGCCAGCTCTCCCCTTCATCCTTCTGATGCTGGGACTCCTGAAACCATTAGCTCCGGAGCCACGACCCCTGAACCTTTTGACCCCGACAGTGATGTCACAGGAAATGGAAACAATCAAACGGTCAATGATTTCACTTTAAAACTGCATGAGTTTGAAAACAAAGTTTCTGATTCTCCCACCGGAGAGGCGCCAGATGAAAGAAATAGGACTGATGAGGAGGAGGAGGAGGGGAGGGGTCAAGGAAGGCCTTTGCAGATGGACGTTGACGTGGATGGAGGAAGAGGAGATGAAGAAATGAATTACAGATTGTACCGGCTTGTTCTACAGTCCGGCCTCACTGACTTCTCCTCCAGTGAAGATGAGCTGGACAGAGCTGGACAGAGTGAAGCCGAACGGAGCCAAGAGAAAGGTCTGGAGGAGGAAGATAAAGAGCAGAAGACAGAGCGACTAACTTATACACTTTGTCAGCTGGAGAAAGAAGCCAAAGCCTCACAGTTCTCCTCTGCTGAAGATGAGCTGGACAGAATGGGTGTCGAAGACAAAGGAGAGGAAGATGATGGGAAGAAGGAAGATCTGGCTGCTAAATTATGCAGATTAGCTAATGAAGTCGACACCACCCAGTTCTCATCCACCGAGGACGAGCTGGACAAAGTGGGACGAGGAGAGGACGAAGAGGAGTCAATGAGTGAAGAGATGCCGTGGAAGCTGCAGCCGGACAAAACTCAGTTGTGTGACTTGGCCAGTTTGGTCAGCGCCTCTCAGTTCTCCTCCACTGAGGATGAGCTGGACCGAGCAGGAGAGGACCGCAGGGAGGAGAAGAAGCTGTGGGAAGGAGCAGAATCCATCGGAGACATAGACATGAAAATGTTTGAGTTGAGAGAGGACACCGAGGAACGAGAACAAAGAGCTTCGAAGAGTCTGACACAACGTGAGGATGATGAAACGGATGTACAGAGAAGTAGAAATCTCTTGGAGAAGAGAATAAGACGGGAGGCTGCAACACACGAGGCGGAGGTTTTGGACAAAAATGTGGAACTTTTGGAAGCTGAGAAAGAGTTGAGGACAAAACAAGAGAATTATCTGGAAGTGAATAAAACAGACGATGAACCAGGGGCAAACAGGACCAGTAAAAATGAAGAACAGTTTCCAAAGGACGGAGAGAGGAAATGGGGAACGGCAGCGAAAAGCGATGAAGACGCAGAGTTTGATCGAATAATTAGCAGCATGTTGCTGTTGAGCTTGGAGGACATGCAGGTGGAAACGCTGGACAAAGATGGAGCGAACGGAAGAAAGAATGAACTGGAGAGCGATAATGGAGGAGAGAGTGGATTCAGAAAAAGGGCTTTCGATGAAAAAAGTCAAGAAGCTTCAGAGAAACATGTTTCAGAAGAGAGGTCAGAGTGTGCAGTGAAAGAATATGTCCAGGAGGAAACTGAAGGACAGCTTTCTACTAGAGACGAGACAATTAGGAGTGAAAACGTGGAGGAAGGACATTCATATTTAACTAAAGAACAACTTCCAGGTACCACAGTGAAACCTGCTCTTATCGAGGCGGAGCAGCCAAGTCCAGACGAACAGAAACAGGAGGGACGAGGAAGCACAACAGAACGAGCAGCAGCAGAGACGAGGAAGGATGTATACGAAGACCAAACTCAAGACGATACAGAGCAAAGCAGCTCCTCTGATCGTCAGGGGGGGGTTCTGTCACCAGAGGAGATCCAGAACGTGAGTACTGCAGCTGTGATGCAGCTTCTAACATCTGTTTTTCCTCCAACGGTCTGCTGTGGGGGAAAGTGAGCCACTGCTGAACAGTTACAAAAACTTTGATTTTGATTAGAACGATGATAAAACAGCTCAATTATCAAAAATAAAACTGAAGGCAGTTCTGCGGTTTTCCTGAAATGATTGTTGAAATGCTAGCGTGAGCGTGACACTAAAACATGTGATCAAAAAAGTCCATGCTCAATAATCCAGGTATTCAATCCAAAAATTTTCAGTCAGGTCATCTGGACAGTTTCTTTTTTTTTTTCCTGAAACGTTTCAGCAAAAAAAAATAAAAAAAAATAAGAGGTTTTGAGTCACACGTGCCATTTAAGGACCATCTGAGAGTTGGTCATTTGTGTCCAGATTTAAATCTTTTCTCTGCCTGTCAGAGGTTAACGCCACCCGTCTGTGCTTGTGCTGCAGAGATACTCAGCAGCATCTCTACGCAACATCACCACCGAAATGCTGAAGGTGCTGAACGCCACCGAGGACCTCATGCAGGGAGTGAAGGGAGGAGACGACACCCGACGCTCCACCGTCTCGCTTCCACCGAACTCAGACCCCAAGAAACTGGATCAGCAGCTCTGGAGACTGGAGGAAAACGTGACTTCACTTTAATATTTATTCATCTCTTCATTATCAAAATATTTTTATTTTCTGTTTATTATTTGACCATGAACGTTTCCAGGTATGTTTTGCTGCAGGTGTACGTAGCCGCTGGTTCTGTGTACAGTCTGGAGGCGGAGCTTAGTGACCTGGAGGAGTGCGCCAGAGGAATCTGCAGCTCCACCTCCGACGTGAAGCTGTCCTTCCTGGAGGAGCAGGTCGCTGCAGCAGCTGCCAGGGTTCAGCAGTCTGAGCTGCAGGTGACACGGGCCCCATCACTCATTTTCTGAACCAGTTTAACTCTGATGGGTCACAGGGAGGTGGTCTCTGACCCTCAGTATATGAGCTGCATTATAAAATGTGGTCTCTACAGAGACCTTTAATTTCTGCCAAGTACTAGAAGAACCTGGGTGTGTAGCCATGCACTAAACCAGCAGTTTTTGATAGAATGACTGTTTTAATATTACTATTTTAGTATTAAAATAAATACTAAAACAAAGTGCTGTATGGTGTGCACATATGTTCCTTGTTCGGTTGCAGATCGGCAACATCTCTTCAAGAATCGCTGCTTTGAAGAGTGCCGGCCTCAACGTAGACCCCCAGTCACGCTTCACCAAGACCCCCGCAGAGCCGGTACTCCATACAGCTTTGATTTCAGAACAGAATGTTCAGTTTTATACCAATAAAAATATGACTTTTTACTTCTTACAGGCTGTAACCCTGGACTCCTCAAAACATCTGAGGAGGAGATTACCTGCTCCACCTGTGAAAGGTGAGACGACGTCGTCTTTCTCTACAAACTGCATTATGTTTTAGTCCGCTGGTTCTGTGGGTAAAACAAACTGTTGCGTACTAAGAATTATTGATGAATGACACAAACAAGCATTTTCTGGTGTTATTGGTTGGATAAATTACAAATTTTCCACTTTTGCAAAGTATTACAGGACAATTCACAGAACAAAAAACAAACCCACTAAAAACTCGTAAAAATGAAAGTTTAAAAGTCCATATGAATACTGGCATAGTATAGTAATTTCACTAATGATTTATATTTTGTTAGTACTAATAGTTTACATACAACTAAAGTGCTTGATGCATAAAGTTGTAGTTTTATGGCAAAGCTATGAAATTTACATTTACTATATAAAGTTGTGCAAACGTTTTTTTTTTCTTAATCCAAGTTTTGAAAGGGTATTTGTGTAGATCTGATCATCATGCATGACTTATTTATAGTAGCCAGAATTTTATAAAAATATTTGCATTTGGAGCTTCACTTGTAGAAAAGGACTGATGTTTTTGTGCAAACTATTCATGCAGCTAGCCTTGGATTTTCTACCGTATATTTCAGATTACAAATTAAAGTTTGACATGTTTTATTGTTTTGTTTTCAGGAGACAAAGACGCCTGAACCACGAGTCTGAGGCAGAACCTCCAACCATCACGGCAGTGCCTTCAGCCGGTTCTGAACGATTATTCACACATCAGCTGCCTTAAATGACCTTCAAACTAGAAATGCCTCAGAAACTGTACGATTGTGTTGTCAGCAATAATGCAAAAAAAAAAAAAAAAAACATTAGATCACAGTTTGTTTCCAAATAAAACTTTAAATAGTGTACAATTAAATAGGAGCAGCTGCTAAATAAATCTATAAGCTAATGTAGCATGTTGTAAAACTTTCTGTGAAACTTGTATCTAAAATTAAAATCTTTTCCTGGATTTTTCGTCCTGCAGAAAGACAATTTTCTTCCTTTTACAAACAAATAAATAAAGGTTGCACATCTGCTGCAGCGTTTGAGAGGTTAACCCTGGAAACACTGACTCAGAGGAAGGTGAGGAATTTAGTATTTTGGAGAGCAGGAAATGACACTCGAACACGACATTCCTCGGGAAATAACGGCGTTTTAGAGTTGAAGCGTCCGATCCTGCAGTGAACCTGAGCTGAATCAAACCTGGAATCTCTTCCTTTACATAAACTGTGATCAAGTCAAACGGGTGCTAAAAATTGTGAGGTTTGATGTATTTTTGTCTCTGAATTTGTGCATCAGTTTAAAAAGAAAAGCAGAAAACCGTCTCCAAACGTGACGGGATGTGTAGTCAGGAGTTCTCCGAGCCGAGGACACGTTCCCTCTGATCAGGAACTACAAACCCTTCTTTCTGTTCGCTCTCTCTTCTGTCCGACAAGAAGAAAAACTGTTTGAAGTCGATGACGACTGTGCCTTCTCTGTCCTGACCGGGAGCCTCCACCTCGGCGTACGACGGGCGCCCGGAGCCTCGTCTGAACTTCAGGATCGGCCAAGAAGTCGGGCGTCGCTGTGGGGGGAAGAGTTCAGACCTCGTTTGAGCTCAAAAAGAAAAATACATATTTTAAATATACAGGGAAGTCCTGTTCACATCCCAACAGCTGTAACTAGTTTGTTTTTGTTGTTAAATAGTTTTTACTTGTTTGTTCTGCTTCTGTTTAATCACCGAGGTATTCTGGTCTGATTGGTTGATGACCTCACTAATACATTTAAGATTGAGAAATATGTTTGAAGCAGAGAGAGTGGATGACCTTAAACTACGAAGAATATGTGGCCCATCACATCAGAGGGCTGACATTATTTAAGCAAATTAAGATTTCTGGCTTTTGAAGCTACATTTTAATATCTAAAGCATGAACTTACAATTTAAGAAGTTATGCTGAATATTTTCAAATCTCGTGTAAATGTTTATGAAGCATTCACATATTGTGACCCGTTTTTCTTCTGTACGTTTTTCAGCATCTTGTTCCAAAATGTTTGTGCTATTCCAACAAACCAAAACGTTCAGCTCTTTTAGGACAATCCTGCTATGACTTGGTATTGGTGCAACTTTAGCTTTTTGAAATATTTAGCCTTTTCTACCATTTTTTTTCCTCATATAAAATGAACTGAGCTCATTTTACATCCTTCACATCTTTAGATCTGTTTACAACTTTTTACTGCTCCTTTCACATTTTGTTCTGTTTCAGCTTTTTTCAGCTGTTTTGTGATCCTTTCAAATTCTTTCTGCTAATTTCAGCTTGTTCTGCTCCTCTCAGCCCATTTCTGCAAGTTTCAGCTACAATTCAGCTGTTTTATACACATTTTAGCCTTTTTAGCTAATGCAATTTTTTGCACTTATTTGAAAAAATTTTCAGCCTAATTCAGCTAAAAAGTACTCTCCACTTCCTTGGGGGCAATTTATAATTCTTTCTGCCTTTTAAAGCTACTTTTCAGCTGTTGGCAATTTTTTTTTTCAGATTCTTTCAGCCTAATAGGTAAAACATGTTTTGCTTTCTTCTGCCAATTTAAGCTTGTTTAGCTACCTTTTTTTTGTATTTTCTAGTTTATTTCGACTGTTTTCAGATAGATTCAATATTTTGTGGTGATTTCTGCTAATTAATCTGATAATTTCAGCTTGTTATACTCTTCAAATTCATTATGCTAGTTTCAGCTCTGATATTTCATCTACTGTTTAGCTGTTTTTTATGCTCATTTTAGCTTTCAGCCAATTCCACATTTGAGCTCATTTCAGCTCTTTCCGCTTCTTTCTGGTAGTTAAGCTTCTTTCTGCTTTTCAGCCGTTTTTATTATTAATTCCAGCTTTTTTTTTAAAGCCAATTTCTTCATTTTATGCCAATTCCTGCTTATTTAAATCTAATTCAGCAAAAATGTGTTCTGCTTTCTTCTACTAACTTAGGCTTGTTCTTCCATTTAACTACATTTCACTTCAGCATGTTTTTTTAATCTAATTTCAGCTGTTTTTCAGCAAGTTCTTCAGTAATAAGCATTCACACTGTATTTTCGCAGGAAATTAAATTTATCTAGTTTTCTCTAATCTCTTAAATGTGTCAAATCAAAATGTAGCTAAAAAGCCAGAAATTGGAAAATACAGATAGTTTAACAAAACCTTATGTAATGAGATGACGGGTCATTTTGGACAAACCGTCTAAAAGCTTGCATTCGTGGCCGAACACCCACTTTTGTGAGTTTTTAAAACTCAATATAGAAATTTAAACACATGCAGCAACTAATAAAGTATTTTGATCTTGAGGGGATGAAGTATGAGGAACCCACTGACCTCCATGAGGAAGATGCTGACACTGGAGGTTGGGTGGCGGTACATGTAGATGGACACCAGGAAAGCTGCTACCATGACAACAGTCACCATGACGACGATGCCTGCCAGGAAACCTGCACGACTTTCTCTGCTCTCAGCATTTCCTGCTATACAGTCAAAATTATGACAAAACATTAGGTCCACCAAGATTTATTAGCCTCCGATGTGAAAACATTAATGCTGGTTGGCGTATGCCGAAAGCACGGCAAATAAAATAAAATAGCTTTAAGACGGACTTCAACGATGCAGAAACAGATTCCCGTATCATCTAGGAAAAAGTATGACCCAACACTTCCTGATGAAATTATGTACATTCAGTCAGTGTTATGTTATTGCACTCATTTTTTGCTTTTCAGAAGTTACTGTCACTTTAGTACTTTTAATGTACTTGGTACTTTAGATGCTGTGCAGTATTTATGGTGTTGGATACGCTCAACTGTGATCTAACAGATTGTCAAGAAATATCTGATGCCTTCACACTGTCGGACCTCCCTGATGGTCATGGCTACTGCATGACTATTTTTTTTTTAAGCAGAGAAAATACCTGCTATACTTTGAGCAATCATCTGTTCCACATTTATCCACATTTTCCACAAAACATTTTTTAACTCAAAGGAAAGTTCAGTGAGTTACCGTTTGTAGATGTGCTAGTTGACTGCTGTGCACTTGATTTGTTTTCTCCGCTGTGCAACGTCTGGTTGGTGCTGGTGGAGGTCCTGCTGAGGGAGGTGGGCGTCATGTTGGAGGTCCTCTGCAGCTTCCCGGTGGCTGCTACAGGAGTGGACGTGTTCGTGAGGCGCTGCCATGTGCCGTTTCTGGTGTCTGCCGTCTGGGGACATCGCACATCTCGACTCTACAACAAAAGTCAGCTTTTGCATTCAGAATTATCTACTCCTTGTTCTGAACTTCTTCAAGTTTGTGACGAACCTCCTCAGGACAGCCGAGGTCGACCCACTCCTGTCGATAATGATCGAAGCCGCTGGAGCATCTGAGAACGAAACTGTTTAATTACAAACGCACGGACTTCTGCGTTCTTCAAATTATTCACAAACACAAATTTTATGGGCGATTATCTGCTGAAATTTTGGGAAACTGGTTTGGGAGGTGATACGATAGTAGTTTTGAATGTTTCTGCAAGTTAAAGGCATTTTATACACAATGTTATCAGTATGCTTCAAAATGTTCCTTGAAACTTCTTAATGGCCAAATTTTATAAGGTCCTAATGATCTTTAACTGGATTTGTTTACTAGATTATGAACCTGAAAACAAGGAACCCTAGCCTCAGAACTGGAAGACTAAATCAAATATCAAACTGGTGCTAAATGATAAAACCAAAGGGATTTTTTTCCCTTGAACCTTTATTTATACACGTTAATCCCATTGAGCCTCGGGGACTCGTTTACAAGAGAGACCTGATTTTAGCAAAGTGATGACAACAGTGGATAACAACGACAACAATAAATAATCATAAAAGAGGCGTACACATTTTTTTTGGGGGGGGGGGGGGGGGGTTGTTGGATGTTTTCAGAAAGTTGTTGCCAGCAGTTCTTCCTCCCATCTCATCCATGCATGGTGTTCCGACTTTGTGAACTCTTACAAATACTTGGAGTTTTAATTGATGCACATCTCTTTTAAGCTCCATATTGAAAACCTGTTAAAGAAACTGAAAGTTTTTTTTTTTGTTTTTTTTTTCAGAATCGGATCTTGTTTAACTCTGAACGTCAGGAAGCTATTTGTAGCTGCTACCTTCTTACCGGCCATTGATTATGGTGACATTTACGTGAATACCCCTTCCAGCTCCTTGCAGATGTTGGATGCTGTCTATCCCGGTGCACTAATATTCATAACTGGTTGTAACTACCATACCCACCACTGCACTCTGCACTCCTTACTCAGTTGGGCATCATTATCTACACGCAGGCTGGTTCACTTTCATCTATAAATCACTCCTTGGTCTGCTGCCTTCTTATATCTCCTCCTACACGTCACATCGTCAGTGCAGTTACGGCATGCGCTCTCATGCAGTGTCCACTCAGTGTGAACTGAACTTGGCAAAAAGGTCTTTTCTTACTCTGCTCCTTACCTGGAGCACCTTGCAACACGATCTGAAGCTCTCCATTGTTTTTATTGTTGTATGTTGTTTATTATCCTCTATACGTTGTCTGCCTAAAACTGGTCTCTCCTGAGAACGAGTCTTCATGAATCAATGAGACGACCTGCACAAATAAAAGCTAAATAATTTTTTTTTTTTTAATGATGTCACATGAGCGCCTTACGACCCTGTGGGTCACATCCGGTCTGCTGGAGAATCTCTGCCTCTCATTTGAAACCGTCTTTTGCAGTGCTTTTAATTTGAAGGCGAGTGGGCTTGAGTGCCACTGAGAAGCACCATCTTTAAGCATGTGGTTAAATCAGTGACATGAATGTCGTAGTTTTAACAAAATATGGACTTCTTTATGTTTAATTACAGATGTCAGTGCAACAACAACAAACAAAATCAGCACAGAGCAGGCACATGTTGTCGACACTAAAATTCAATAAGACTTTTTACCAAGATTTACACATCCAGGAACGGAGCAGTTGAACGTAGTTTTGTGAAATTTCACAAAACAGCAAAAAGAAACACGGAGAGGAGAACTTTCCACGAATGAAGAGGCAGACAAAAGGCTCTACAGATCCTCTCACGGTCTTGAAAACACGAGACAACTGGTTCCATCTTTCAGCTAACGAAGCTTCGTTGTACAACTGAAAGTGTTGTTCAGTTTACCTTTGCAGCCGACTGCACCAGCTGCAGTTAAAGCCGGTGTGAGAAGCAACACACGAGCCACAGCTGGAGAACTGCAGACACGCTGAGAAGAAAGAAAAACAGTGGGGTGAGCAGGAAGAGACCGCTCAGTCCGCTCAGTAAAACCAGGATGTTACGCACTGGGAAGAGGAAGCAGCTCCACGGCTGTAGAACTGCAGATTTTTGACGTGGGGATGCTGACTCTGTGATACTCGTAGATGGTTCTCCGACGAACATCTAAAGCATGTTGGAAAAATTAATTATTCAAATAAAAAGAAATAAAAAGGGAGCTGCTAACCATGCAGTGCACTGGACCCAAACAAATCAACATTATTCTAATAACTATTTAAAAATACGCAAAAGGGCTTTATTTCTTTCGGTATAGCTTCCTGTCAGTTGTGTACATCAAAGTTAAATGGACTGTACTTATATAGCACTTTTCTATTTAGTCAAGATACTTAAAGTGCTTTAACACAATCTGTGCCCTCATTTACCCATTCATACAGCACTCTACTAGATCTCTACAAAGCTACCATACTTTTTGCAGTATAAGTCGCACCTTTTTGCATAAATTTGCATGCTCTGTGACTCATATAGCAAAGCGACTTATTTATGTTTTGTTTCCCATATTTATAACCCAATTATTAGCTGAGATCTGACTATTTCATTCATTCTGACATGGAAAATATTGAACACTACCATTTTCAGCCACTAGAGGGCCCTCGAGCAATATGGCAAGCCAAATGTCTCATTAATAGGTAAAAGTGGCTATTAATGAGACACTTGGCTTGCCATATCAAGCCACTTTCGTCTCGCTCCATAACTCCTGGAGCAAACGTCAAATCAGCTGCATTTTGCTGCACCACCCAGGCGAAATGCAGCTGATTTGACAATTAAAGTGCATTTATTAAGGAAAAGCTCAACTGAGACACACCTTTGCTATAATGTCGAGCAAACAAAGGATTGTTTTTAAGTGTTAATCTTGTTAAATTCTTGTTAAATCGTCCTGTGCACGCCATTTGGCAGCCAATCGATTTTTGGCACAACATCGGCCCACGGTTCTGGGTCATCAGCGGTGACACATAAACACGACACGTCAGCGGTGATGCATAATAGATGCGACTTATACGGCGAAGCGACTCATTTGTTTTTTTCCCACTTTATTAGACATATCTGGACTGATGCGACTTATACGGAGGTGCGACGTGTACGGCGGAAAGTACGGTAATCTGAATCTGTACAAAGAATAATCAGTGCTTTAGATCACATTCATACATTGATGGGACACACGTGCAGCAAAACTGCTGGCATAGCCCTACAGAACCTCACTGACCTACACAAGGTGAGATCAGTAAAAAAGGTCACGCTGATTCTGGCAGATCCTGATCATCCTATCCATGGTGAGTTCATGTTGCTTCCATTAGGACGCAGGTATCTGCTGCCCTGATGTAGAACGAACAGACAAAAAAAAAAAAAAAGAAATCCTCCCTGTAGTGATCAGGCTTCTCAATGAACAGTGATGATTTCATGTATTTTAATGTCTTAATGTCTTGTCTAGTATGAACGTTTTAAGTGCCTTCTGACTGTGAAACAAATTGCCCTTTAGGGACTAGAGATTCTTGAACACATCAGAGGCAATGAGGGGTCTTGCTCAGGGACACTTCAACATGTGACAGATGATGGTAGAATCGAACCTCCAACTCTCCCATTGGAAGGAAACTGCTCTAACCACTCATCCACAGCTGCCCTCAAGTTTTAAAGTCAGATTTTACACGACCTGTTAGAGCTCAGGGCATGTGTTGGGGATGACTCTCAGCTTTCATCACACCTAATTTTAGCTCAATTTCTGTACAATTAGCTGAATTATAGCCACTGTTTGCATTTGGTAGTGGTGATTAGCTGTAGTGGACATCTTAAATCAGGTTGACCCCATAATTTAAACAGGTTATATGTACATGTGATTACTTTGAGAGTTTAAATTAAAATATGTTGAGTGGTCAAACAACAGACACACAAACACACTCACACATTAACACACACCTTGAGGGGCTACAAATAGTTGTTAAAGCTCACAGATGAGCTACTAGTTGTACAGAGGTCTAAAACAAAATGTCAGGTCAAATGTGTTATCTCTCTTAGCGCTGGGTCCACTGGTTGGAGCTGTTTGCTGTTACCCATAATGCAACTGCAACATGAAGACTTTTATTCTATCAAATTGAGACATTTGAGTCCTTTGCTAGAAGAGCTCTATTAGCCAGTGCTGATCAAACAAGCTAAACGTTATATTTAAGGTTCATGAAAAAAATATAGAGCAAATCGATGTCTTACTGGGAATCTGTTCCATCTCATTCAGCACCACAAAAGCATCAGATAAGCCGACTTTGACGGGATGATTCTCAGAGCTGATGTCTCTGATGTCGACAGGAATCTAAACACAGAAGGAATTTATTAAAAATAGTTATGCCTCATGAAAATTATTCCTAAAAATGGGATGAAAGTCACCTCTTTGTATGCAAAAACAATCCGTCCGTCACTGTGCAGCGAGGCCTGAAAAGTGAACGTTCCAGCACTGATGTTGTCCTGGAGGTACATATGGTTCCACTGAACCACCAACGCAGCTCCTGAAGGGCAGAAATGATCAAATATTAAGCTTCTTTATCCGATTGCTGATTTATCCACTGAGATATTCACATACCGTTGTCACAGTACAACACTGTGGAGTTTTTGGAAAGGCTTGGGTCAAAGTTGGCCATCAGAGGAGCGATGTACTGAGTAGCTGTGAGCATCTGGTGGATTATATCTCCAGTGTAGATGAAACCTGGAAGAGGAAAACCTACTGAGGCTTTCAACATTTCTCCCAGAAGTGCCATATTATTTATCCGACATGACATTTTGCATTCTGAGTTATCAGTTTTGCACAATTTTGACAACAAGACACAAATAAGAGCAAATTGTGCAGCTTTATAAAAGAAAAGTAATCAAGATTTGGAAAAACACGGATGTTGTGAGTTCACCTCTTTCCATTTTACTGATAAAACCATTGACATGTAATTAGTTATTTACAGGACGGATGCACAATATTGGATTTTTGGTCCATATCCAATACGTCAATATGTTAAAGCTTATTTGGCCGATAACTGATACCAGTACCGATATCTTTTTTCCTAGATCTACAGACTACACAGCTTTCTCTGATGTGGAATTAAAATACTACATTATTCTGCATGATCTTTGTCAGTTTGGCTTCTACCAAATGCAGATGCCAAAAAGGGGCTGAAAATGATGTAACACTTCAACTTGAATTAAGTTTAATGTCAAATTTATTCATAACATTTATTCTCTCTGACACAATGACGACACTCGAACAGTGCAAATTTGTAAATTTTCACACAACTAAACTCAACCTGTTCACAAGTGACAAGTGACAAGTACATAAGTAGTAGTACAGTAATAGATATACTTGACGGTTTCTTAAATTAAAAATTAACTTCAAACAGAAGCCCGATACGTGGCTATACAATCTTAACGATCAACTCAAATCTCCATGAATGTTGCTTTGTGCAAATAAAATCAAAAGTGCAAAATATATTGACAGCTTCTTTCCTTTGTCAGAACAGATCCCTCTTATTTACACTTATTTGACACAAAAATTGTGTAACAGAGCACGGGAAGTTCAAACAGGCAAAAAATACCAAATAACATGCACTACATTTTAGCATTTTTATAAATATAAAAAAACAACGCCTTTTATATCAGTGAGTTATTTTGATGGAATGGCCAATGTCCGATATTTCATTTCAATGCCAATATTGGCCAATACTGATATCTTGCTGATAACATCATGCATCCCTAATTTACAGTTTGGAAAGTTTCTCCTCTAACAGTTTTGGATATTTTTCAAAAAACGTCATTTTCATGAGTTAAAAATTTCTATTTTTCAAATTATCTTCCTTAAATTCGCAGCTGCTAAAATAAAGCAAACTTTTAAGTGTAATCTTTTCATTACACAATGATAATAAAGCTGCTTATTCTGATTCTAACTTGTACATAAAAACAGCAGAGTTCATGTCTCACCTCCAGTAGCAACTGTGATTTCGTTCAGAAGGTGACCATAGAACGGAAAACTGAAGGACAGATTCACTCTCTGGAAGGATAATGTTTAAAATTAAATGGGTTCTCAAAAATGTACTCTTTAAAAACATAAAATATTTGTTTTTATTTCCCATCATGGCAGAAATACAGCAGTGTAGTGGTAAACCTTGTGCGGATAAAAGACATAAAACTAGAAAACTTAAGTAAATGGGTAAACAGGTAAACTATTACACATCAGGTTTGGCTTTGGGAAGTTTTGTGATTTAGACATCAGTGCAGACGTCACCCCTGCTGGCCATTTAAAATAATGCATTTTGTTTATGAACATTGGCTTCACTTTTCAGACTCAGAGGTTGTGTCCTTCATTAATGTGGCATAACGTCACATACTGTATGTTCAAAAGATTAACGTTCAGTTAATCTCTACAGACTGATGTCTTACCTCTGCGTGTCTGTGTGTGTTGGACAGAAAGCTGAGGACCTTCCACTGTCCCTCCGTCTTGTCCACGTTCACCCACAGGATTTTACCAGAGGCGTCTCCAGGACCGAAGATTTTAGACGTGTAATAGAGGTGGTCAACATCCTACATCATCATACAAAGGATAAAAAATACATAAATATTCAGTGATTTAACCATTTACCTCTTGACCAGAGATATTTGTTATTTTGAGTTTATTCAGTAATCCGCTCAAAATTCAGACAATTTATTACAAGAAAAGTCAATAATGACTCATTGGGTCTTAAAAAAAAAAAAACACACTTGTCCAGTTACTGCATAGTCAGTTATTGGCTTTATGGGCGCATCTTCTTAAAGTTAAACTATGATTTGATGTCACACTGTGTCATCTTTGGCAGTTTGTTTATTGATACATCTGGTAAAATAGGAGCCAATTTAAGATTTTTGTAGCAGATTGATGCTAATAATAATTAAACTATGGCGAAATTTAGTCTAAAGTGTCTTTGCCAAGCTGTTGATTATTTGTTGATGGAAGTGTTTTATATGCCACAAAGATTTAAGGGTCTGCACTGATGAACTAAAACAGAATAAATTAAAATTTAATATGGTTAAATACAAAGTGTGGACTGAAAAAAAGGAATGTGACGATATTAAATGAACTAGAGAAATTTTCCTACGAGAACACAGTGTGAATGCTTACTGCAGAAGAACTGCTAACATTAGCTAAAGACATGCTTGAATGTAGCTGAAAGAACAAGCCAAAATTAGCAGAAGAAAGTAGAAAGAACACGTTTGCTGAATAAGGTTTAAATAAGCAGAAATGGACACACAAATCTGGAAATTAGCTAAAAAAATCTGAAGTTGGCAAAAAGTAACTGAAAGGCAGAAAGAAGCTTAATCTACCAGAAGAAAATTGAAAGAGCTAAAATGAGCTTAAAAATGTGGAATTAGTTTAAAAAAAGCTAAAATTAGCATAAAGCTGCTATAGAGTAGCTGAAATACCAGAAAAAGCTGAAACTAGCATAATTGAGCTGAAAGGAGTATAACAAGCTGAAATAATCAGAAAGAAGTTAGGCTGAAAGTAGCAAAAATTACTATAAACAACTTTAGTTTATCTGAAAACAGTCAAATTAGCTTAAAATACTAAAAAAAAGGTAGCTGAAAAGATAGAACAAGCTTAAATAAGAACGCAGAAAGAACATTGCTGAATTAGACTGAAAGAAGCAGAAATGAGCACAAAAACGTGTAAATTATCTGAAAAAAAAGGCAGAAATTAGCAACAACAAAAAACAGCTCAAAAGTAGCTAAAAAGCAGAAAGCTTAAATTAGCAGAAGTGGGAAGAGCACATTTTTTGTGAATTAGGAAGAAAAAAAGTTGACATGAGTGCAAAAAATGTGGAATCGGCTGAAAAAGCTAAAACAAGCGTAAAACAGCTATAGTAGCTGAAATAGTAGAAAAAGCTGAAACGAAACAAGCTGAACGGCGCATAACGAGCTGAAATTAGCAGAAAGAAAAGAAGGAACACAAAAATGTTGTAGTTAGCTGAATAATCTGAAAGGATTACAAAACAGCTGCAAAAAAAATCCCAGCTGAAATTAGCTGAAAAATGTTTAAATTTGCACAAAGAAGCTGAAAGAAGCTGAACCAGAACAAAATGTGAAAGCAGCAGTAAAAATGATGTAGACATATCTAAAGATGTGACTTCTTTTCCTATGAGACAAAAAAGGACTAAATATTTCAACAAGCTAAAGCTGAACCAACACCAAAAGTCATAGCACCCTTCTCCTGAACGAGCTGAACGTTTTGATATACGATTTGTTGAAATGGCACAAAAACTGTGGAACGAGAAAGATGCAGAAAAACGTACGGAAGAAAAATGGATGACAATAGAGTGAATGCTTCATAAACATTCACACAATAATCATGTTTTATGACCGTCTGAAAACAACTTAGAGGAGGAAGTAAAATATTTACAAAAAAAAAAAAACCCTGCTGGTTCAAAACTTCCCAACCAGTGGTAAATCTTCTAAATAAAACTGACTTTTGAACATGAAAATTTGGATTGTTTTGTAAAAAGCATCTAGTAAATAAAGAAGACAATCATTAAGATAATCTACAGTCCAAAAATATAGTTTTAAACTTGTGACTTTGATGAAATCTTACAACGATCTGTGTAGAGTTATCCTGTTTCTCCTTCATGTGGACATCAGGACTGGCCTCCTCTGGCTGGTGCTGGTCTTTATAGTGGGCCCTCTTATCTGCAGCCCACACAGAGTCCCTGGTCCTGAATCGGGACGCCCACATCTGCTCCCTGGGATACCGAGCAGCTAAACGCAGCCGCCCCCCTTCGCAGGAAAAGAAACACAGGCAACAATTATTCCATAAAAAAAAGAGAATTTATGAAGAAGAGCATGTTATAAATGAGTTACTGATCATTTTTATGAACTTCCAGTATGAAACTGTACAAAAACACACTGTAAACATATCCTGATGCATGCTCAGTAATCCAGGTAGAAAAACACTGTACACTGTAAACATATTTCCCATCATGCAGCAGGACATAGCAGCTCCTCAGCAGGTGCCATGTGGTAAACACGGTTCCTCCACCATTCACAGGTTTGCGTCCTGTGTTTTCTCTTCACAGCGGAGGGTGAAAACATGCTTCACATTCTTCACACCGCCAGCTCCAGGAGCAGCAGTGGGTGTTGAAGCCATATATCTGTCACACCATGACGGCTGCAGAGGTCGCACAACATGAAAACTACCTGCTCCTCAGAAACAACTGGGAACATCTGGGGGAGTTTTGTTTACTGAGAATAAAAAAGTGTATCTTCTGCATTCATCAAGATTCATCAGACAGCTCAGGATGTTCAGACTTCTTGTTTACCTGCAGAACAGCACACACCTGAATCTAATCATACCTTTGATTAGTCCCCATTTCATCAAAGAAATTAACTCCTCCTGTTGGTTTGGAGGTATTAACACAATTAAACATGAATAAGGATCCCAAAAAATTCCATACAATTACTTAATTGATAATTTAAAGCTTTGTAACCCATGAGCTAAATAACATGTAAAAATGTTATGCAAATTTAAAAAAAAAAATCTGGTGATGACCTTTGAACTTTAATTTTTTTTTTTAAAATAGACAAGGCACATCAATTAAATAAAACCAGAAAAATACAAACGTTATCATCAAATGAGTGTTTTTCTTAAACAGTGTGGTGAAAGTGAACTTACACAGAGAAATATATATATTTTTAATAAAATTGCAAACTTACCACTGGATAATCTGAAACAGTTTATCTGAATCTGATGAACCAGGACCAGACTTGTAATGAAGTAAACCGCTTTAATCATCATCCTTTTCTCTATTTGGCTCCAAAATTCTGAAGTGGCGCAATAAAACGGAATATTCCAGGGTCGCTTTAGAAGAAATAAACAGGAAGTAAAAACCGGCTTATTCTATTGAAAAAGGTTTTAAGTTTTAAACAAAACCAACAACTCCCCGCAGTAAACTAATTTCCATTTCATGCTCCCCGTTTGTCCGCAATGATCCGAGATGTCATTTGACTCGTGGTGCGTTCAGTGACTGTTGTAATTATCATCATAAAGATCAACGTTTACACTTTTTAACATGTTGCACGAAAAGTCGTAAATAAAAAAAAGCAGAAAATAATATGGATGAATAAATATATATGTATATCAATATTATTAGATTTGTACAAAAGATGTATAGAAGCACCTTTTTAAGGACCTGAAGTTGTGTAACATTAATTACTTCATACTTTTTTGCGCATTTTATTTTAAATGGCCATGCAAACTGTCAAGTACATGAAAGTTTTTTCCCCCTTTAAATAGTTTGAGCAGAGAATAATTACTTTGAGCAAGTGAACGCAGCACGGTTTATTTGTAATTCCAGTTGTCACCACTAGTGGGCGACAGAGCGAGCACAATCAGAAACCTCAAAACTCTGAAAAAGTTTTTCTTCATTGCTCAGATTATAATCCACCAGCTCAGTGTGTCTGCAGCCAAATCAAATTTAAACAAGATTCACAGAAATTAGTTTAGGTTATCTAAATAGATTGAAATTAATTAATGTCCAGCTCTGGATTTAACATAAATTTCAACTCGTTATGACCAGTCAAAAGACAAAGGCAGGTGTTTATGCCTACACCTGTAAGCAAAATATTTCAACCACTGGTCAAATTAAACTGTTGTTTCAGTTGTTCTGGATGCTGATGGTTGTGGGCAGGAAGGATCTCCTGTAGCGGTCTGTCTTACAGCAGATCTGAAGAAGCTTCTTGTCCATCTCTGATACACCCGCCCACTGCAGTCATCTGAATATTTCTGCAGATCACAGGAGTCGGTTTTGTACTAGAACTCTGAGATGTACATCAGTCACATTTATAATATTAGAGCACACGGTTTTCAAATTTTGTGTATGTGACTCCATTTCTTAGTGTAAAACTCTGGAGTGTTAGGTGGTTTCCTATTATAAATTATCTTTAACACCAAACAATAAAAACATTTTATTTCAATTTAACTGCATTAGAAAAGAACTTAAAAACACCGGGCTCGTTCTGGACTGGAATAAATCAGCTGAACTCAACAGACCTCAGAACGACTCGTGTTAAATAACGTGCAATAAAACAAAGCATCCGTACAACATTGTTTTATTGTCAGACTGAAATGCCCACAGAAAGGAAGAGTAGCAGATGCAGGGAAAAATTTAGCGTAACAAAACAAAAGTTGTTATTCAGAAATAACAAGGACACTTCAGGTCTAAAAGCGGACTTTAATACAAATATCAAGAATGAAAAAAATAATAATCACAAGCCACTACTGACAAGGTTTATTTGTTCTTGTGTCATTGCTTTAAAGTTGTGAACTAAACAGACTAAATCTACCGCAGGGAGGTGTAAAACCCTAAAGGTGTTAAAATTAAACATTAACCGATCAAACACCGTTTTAAAAACACTGGAAGAAACACTTGTGAATAATGAAACATTTGCCAAGACCACTGTGTGATTTGTGTCACATGCTCTCATTTCACTGTGCGACTTTAGTGTGTTCACATTTTCCTGGCAAGTGAAAGAATTAACACCAAGAGCTGAGATTTTTGAAACTAAAAACAGCTTGGATTTTTACCTGAATTATTATTTTTTGCAGATTTTCTACGCAAAGTGAGATGAAATCAGAGTCTTACGTGTAGCGTATACCAACTTTACTTTACAAAACCGCCGCACTGTTCTGTTGATGCCAAAGCGTGCAGCCTCGTTAAAAAGAACAAAACAGCAAGGTTTCAATAAAATATTAACACAACTGCAAAAGCACAAACAATCGTGAAACATTCCGGGTGCGTGGCTGTAATTCAGGGTGAAGCTCCAACTCAAACATGGTCAATCCTGAGCCTTTAAGTTTCACATTTACTCACATGATAATGAAATTATATCAGCCTTAACCATTTTTACTATAAACTGGTGCACTACTCACGTTACGTTCACGAGGCCTGAGCACCACGGCTGCAGCCATCATTAGTACGGTGTTGTGTTCCACTTTTCTTATTTTAGACCAAGATCTGGCTAACGTTTCTACAAATGATCCCTTCGTAACGAAGGCTTCCAAAAGCATCTTTCATCAAATAATAATTTGTGACATATGTAGATGAACAGAAAAAAGAAAAAAAAAAACCTCTGGATGGACTTTCAGTGTAAAAACTCAGCACTGCAGGAGCTCCACCTCAAAAATGAGAGTGGCGTTTGCAGGGATGATGGGTGGGTATCCACTGGCACCATAGGCGTAATCTGGTGAGCAGGTCAACCTGGCCACTTGACCAAGGCTCATCTGGGAAATGAAGAGAGAGTTTAAAACTTGACATCTGACTCCCATTACGCATAAAGGGCTGTCATGCATCTACAGCAACTTTAACAAACTATACAGAAGAATGCATATTTGATCAATAAATCTAATATTTTTAGATTAAACCAAATTATAATTGTTTACTTTACAGCAACTGAATCTTATTTGCACTTTATTTGGGTGAAAATGATAATTATTCTGCATCAGCCTCAATTTAAAAAATACTTGCGTTTTCCTACATTTGGATAACTCCTTGTACAAGAACAAAGGAAGTACCAGATTACTCAGCGAGCAGAATAATCTGTAGAACTGAATCGCTTTAATGCTTATACTTGGATGTGTGTTTGTAATCTGAAGACACTTTAAAGATAATCCGCAGTATACAGATTGTTTCACACAGCAAGTACATAAATGTGTAATTACAGAGGAGTAGCTCTTATCTCATTGTTTCAGCTCTGCATTAGTGAAATTGGGTTGTAGCCTTTTTGGAGAAAAATAATCTGTGATGGATCCAACGTGGTACTAGCAGAGCTCCTCTCCTTACCTGAGCTACACCTTCATCCCAGGCACGGATGACTTCCTGTGCTCCTAGTTTGAACGTGAAGGGCTTCCCTCGGTCTCTGGAGGAGTCAAACTTTTTCCCGTTTGTCAGCGTGCCTGATCAAAAACAGCACATTCAAAATAAACAGGGATCATGTTAAAACTTGTGGCTTTTAGCTGCAGAACAGGCTCGATGTTTTTGACGCACCACCACGCTGCCAGGAAAAGATCGGCTAGCATCACGGTTTAGCCTAGCGTTAAGAGTGAGGAATAAAATTAATAAAACGTGTCGATGTTCGTTTGTTAGTTTCCACATTTTGTTCCAGTTGAGTTGTTAGTGTTAGAGGCGTAGGAGTAAGCATGTCTCTCACCCATTTTTATTTTTTGGACAGAGCCAGGCTGCTATCCGCCCCCGAGTTTCTGGGCTCTATGCTAAGCTAATTAGCGTTAGCATCATTTTCGACGAGCCCACTGTCACTCCAGATATTGTGAATTTACACATTTCATATCGCCCCTTTAACGCATGCGACTAATAAGTTTTGTTTTGATTGAATTAAGGAAAACTATAAAATTAATCGCGAGGCGCTAAAACTGGAAATGAGTCGTCTTACCAACATAATGCACAGCGACCGTATTTCCTCTCTTCGGAAATGTCTTTCCTGAAACGGCAAATCGAAGGTTAGATAAAACACGCTACAAAATACCAACACTAACTGAAAAGGAGCGGAAATTCGAATGAAAATCTTTACCGTCGCCGGGTCTGATAGTCTCCACTTGAACGCCCATTGTTCTCGCAGTGCGTCTTCACACTTCCTGTATCTCCGCCGCTACGTCCAGCTGTCGAATTTGACGTGGATCACGTGTTTTGAAGAGTTGCATTCGTTTAACCTCGGAAACTGAATAATTGAGTTTAACTTGACACACAAACACAGATTTTCATGTTAAAGGTCAGCAAAATAAAATTTTAAAGTCGGATCTGGTATGGTATCTGAGCCAAAATCTCAAATTTTCTGAGTTTGGGGGACATTATTGTTGATTTTTTCCGACTTAAAATAAACAATTCTCGAAAAGGCCGATTTCTGATTACGACTGAAATGCACCATTTGTACTTGCATAAACGGGCGGATCTCTGAAAGACCCTATAAAACCCAACATGCTCTCAACACAGTGGTTTTATATAACTATGGCTCTCCACACTCCACGACTAACCCCCAACATTTCTTTCATTACAGGTATTCTGTTAAAACCCAAAATAACTTCGAGTTGGATGAGAACTGCACAACACAATAAATCTATAAAAGGTCGTGCAAAGATGACAGAAAGTTTACAAAACAGAATAAGATAACTATCATGTAAAGATGTAAAATAATTGTAACACTACAATAATGAAATACTTAATTAGAGAAAACTAGTAATAGGTTCTTAAACGTTTAAACTGCACAAAAACAAGAATCTAGAAAATATGCTATATATGTAAGGGTATACTTCCAAGTTTTTTTTTTTTTTTTTTTTTTTACATTTGATTCAAACGTGAGGCAGATGCAAATGTTTTATTTATTAAACTTACATTAGAAGCCTAATTATGACAAACATTTTACCATAAATAGTACAAATATAACCTCAATTCAGTTTATGTCATAAATGTGTCGTTGGAGAAAATCTCTCTCACTAACACTGTTTACCCAAAAGATCCAACAGCAGGAGAAGATTTTTAACCGGTAGTTTATACTTGCAAAGTCAGATTTCAGGAGAGGTTACATAAATATATCACATACGCGCATGAAAACCAGTCCCAGAAAGCCTAATTCGCATTAACTGCTTGCTTTTAGACTAGACTCCTCTCAGCTCAGCCGAGTTCACAGAGTTCAGGAGGTGTCCTTGAAGCCAGCCACAGTCTCCTTACACAGCACTCCACTTTTACCCAAACATATGGTTCATGGGCAGAGATAAGACTGTGTCTCGGGAGACAGTTTCAGATTGTTTTGAGCTTCTTGTTCTCAGGACAGAGGGGAGGACTCTTCTCAGTCATAATAATAATAATAAAACCATCCATAACCTTTGACCAAAAAGAAACAGAATGTTGGGAGCAAATCTGCAAATATATGAACTGGGATAACAAATCTTTGTCCAAAAGGGGATGCTGTTGTGCAGAAGTATTTAAACAAGACAAAAAAAAATGTAAAACTGT